TGACTCTCTGTATGTGAGTTGGCATGGGGCAAAACGTTCTTCTTGTGATGGCTTAGGTGCAGGGATTGGTAATCATTTAACTATCAACTGACGAAAAGGAGTCCTATCTAGTCCTTTTCAGATGGAGTGTACATGTGTCTAAGGAGTTTCTAATGAGTGATACAATTACTAAGGGTGGAATTAGAGAATCATGTAAACGGTTTAAAAAAGTGGGTGGGACAACCTGGCTCAACGTATAAAAGCCAGCCTCGGTGCAGATTTTCTCCCAGACAGTGGCTCAACCTCTAGGACTCTTCCAGTGTGGCTGAAGACAACTCTTCACACAGTAAGTTCCCTTGTGCTTGACTGAGCTCTTGTTGGTTTGGGGGAAAAGTAGGGCTTAAAAACCTAGTGGTCTTGTCAGAAGTTGTGAGAGTTCCATTCTTAAACTTTAAAATAACTGCATCTGGATAAGGGAAAACCATTTTCTCTGATGTGATATTATGAAAATAGGCTGTTTCCAGTGCATTTGAGCATTAGGAATTTCAGAAAGGTACAGATATTCAGGAACTAAAGAAGACATATTTGAGCTTCAAGAAGGAATAGAGGAGGAAGGAACAGAAACGAGAAAAAGGAGCTTGAGACAGACACTAAAAAAGCAACTATGGGAGACATCACAAAGTTTAGAGCTCAAAACATCCTTGGAATCAAAGCACTTTCCAGATTTCTCTTTACAGAACTTTTGAACTTTTCTTCTGAACTTTGGACTTCATCTAATTGCCTACTTGTCTCTAACAGGCATCCCAGACTCAATGTGTTCCAAGCTAAACTCCCAATGTTCGTATCTAAACTATTCCTCCCATTGTTTTCTCCAGCTCAGGAGGTGCCAGGTCATGCCTCATGTCTAGAAAACACCCTGACTCCATTTTTCCCCTCATGACATTATCTAGTGAGGCTGAACATTCTGATGGCTTTAACATTCAAATATTTAAGGAATTTGACCATTTCTTGGTCCATGTCATCAGATTATTGGTTTCTCTCTCTTTTTTTTTTTTAAAGACAGGGTTTCACCATGTTGGTCAGGGTGGTCTTAAACTCCCGACCTCAGGTGATCCTCCCGCCTTGGCCTCCAAAGTGCTTGGATTATAAACGTGAGCCACCACACCCAGCCAGATTATTGGTTTCTCTCATCAGATTATTAGTCCATCTTATTAGATTATAGGTCCATTGGGTTAGATATCTAATCCATCTCATTAGATTATAGGTCACTTGCATAAGATTATTGCAGTCTTTTTTTCTTTTTCTTTTTAGTGCTTATTTCACTGTATATTGCAGTCTTCTAACTGACCTCTCTGCTTCCGCCTATCTATTTTCAGCCCTGTACCTCATGTGATGTTGTTAAATTGTTAATTAAATCATGTTGGCCAGGCTCGGTGGCTGATACCTGTAATCCCAGCATTTGAGGAGGCCAAGGTGGGCAGGTCACGAGGTCAGGAGTTTGGGACCAGAATTAGCCAGGCATGGTGACACGTGCCTGTAATCCCAGCTACTCAGGAGGTTGAGGCAGGAGAATTGCTTGAACCCAGGGGTGGAGGTTGCAGCGAACTGAGATCATGCCACTTCACCCCAGCCTGGGCAACAGAGCGAGACTCTGTCTCAAAATAAAATAAGGTAAACTGAAATAAAAATTATTTCACTTATCTGCTCAAAACTGTCAATGACTTCTCACATTACTCAGAGTAAAAGGCACCTGGCCCTATTGTGCCTTAGGTAACCTGGAGCCTGGTATGGTCTGTGACCTCATCTGCTTCCTTTTTCTTCTTTTATCTCCAGACATTCTGGCCTCCTTACGTTATGTGAAATAGGACAGCCAGCATCCCAGCCCAGGGCCTGTCCCCTCTTTCTGCAATGTGTCTCTCAAACATCAGCATGGTGCACTCTCTAATCTGACTCAAGTCTTTGTTCATGTTATACTTTCTTGTGAGCCCATCCCTAACTATTGCACTTAAAACTATTGCGCTTAAAACCCCTGCACTCTCTACTCTTTCCACTTCATTATTTGCCATGGAAGCACTCATTGTCTGATACACTATATCTTTTACTTATTTGCTTGATATCCTTCAGCTCCTCATAACGTCAAGCGTATCTTAACTGTTTTGTTTATGCTGCCTAGAATAGGGTCTGGCTTTTAATAGGTGTTCAATACTTTTGAAACAAATGAAAAATTAGATGAAAATATTCTAGTTAATTCTACCAGGACTTACCTAGTCATTCCCTGAAGTGAATGCTTGATGTGTGGAGAAGGGTGAAGGGTCAGAAATTAGAATTCAGTCAAAGAATGACAAAAAAAATCAGATTTTTCTACTCCAGAAATGTAGAAGTTGAGGAGAAGCAAAATGGATTTTTTTTCAGGAGTGGCTTTCTGAGGTTAATTACAAAAGTAGACAGGATCAATTTCTGAAGGCATCAGGGCAGTTCTATGTAAATCTTATGAAGTGGTCTTTTGAGAGGGGTGGTGTTACTTACAAATATATTGAAGAATAGAAGATTTATTTTATGGTACTTGCTTTCAAGGTATGGTCTGTGGAGCCCCAGAGCCCTTTCCAGGAACTGTAAGGAACTGTAGTATCAGGGTAATACTGGCTTTGTAGAATGAATTTGGAAATATTCTCTCCTCTTCTATTTTGGAATAGTTTGAGTAGGCTTGGTATTAGTGCTTCTTTAAATATCTGGTAAAATTTGGCACTGACACCATTGGGTCTCAGACTTTTCTTTGTTGAGAGATTTTTTTTTTTATGGGTTCAATTTTGTTATTTGTTATTTGTCCGTTCAGGTTTTGAATTTCTTCATGGTCCAATCTTGATTGTATGTGTCTAGAAATCTATCCATTTATACTAGATTTTCCATTTTATTGTCATATAGTTACTCAGAGTAGCCTCTAACAATCCCTTAAATTTCTGTGGTATTAGTTTTAATGTCTGCTTTTTCATCTCTAATTTCATTTATTTAGGACTTCTCTTTTTTTCCCTCATCCTATTCCACTCTCTCTCTTTCTTTTTTAAGTCTGGCTAAAGGATTGTCAATTTTGTTTATCTTTTCAAGAACCCAACTTTTTATTTCTTTGATTTTGTATATTCATTACAAAAATTTCTTTCTTTCTGAAAAAAACATTTTTTTTTTGAAGTGCAGTGGTGTGATCTTGGCTCACTGCAACCTCTACCTCCAAAACTCAAGCAATCCTCCCACCCCAGCCTCCCAAATAGCTAGGAATGCAGTTGCCATGCCCAACTAATTTTTTTATTTTTTTATAGAAATGGAGTCTCACTGTGTTGCCCGGGACAGTCTCAAACTCTTTGACTCAAGGAATCCACCTGCCTTGGCCTTTCAAGGTGATGGGATTACAGGTGTGACGCCACCCATGCCCAGCCTAAACTGTTATTTTAAATGATCAATGCAAGAGGCTACAAAATCATGCATAGGGAAAAGATCCATTCAAAATGTAAGATAACGTGTTGGAAACTTGAAAAAAGTATGAGAGACAAAAATGTATTTTAGTAGAACACAGTAAGAAAAGTTCACTGACATGTTTTCAGACTCCATGTGGCAACCACCCTTTAAAAAAGTTTAAGAAATTGGCCAGGCGTGGTGGCTCATGCCTGTAATCCCAGCACTTTGGGAGGCTGAGGCAGGTGGATCATCCAGCCCAGCCTGGCCCACATGGCAAAACCCCATCTTTACTAAAAATACAAAAATTAGCTGGGCATGGTGGCGGGCACCTGTCATCCCAGCAACTGAGGAGGCTGAGTCAGGAGAATCACTTGAACCTGGGAGGTGGAGGTTGCCGTGAGTTCAGACCACGCCATTGCACTCCAGCCTGGGCAACAAGAGTGAAACTCCTTCTCAAATGACAACAACAACAAACAATGGACCTGGGGGTGTAAAACTGAAGATAAGGGCAAGCATTCAAAGATCAAACAAAACAGCTGTTGGGCTTTTAACGGAACCTCTAGCATCTCTAGTAACTTCTTATCTCAATTCACTAAGTCTAATTCCTTTACAAAATGGTATGTTCCAAAATGCTTTCCCGATTTGGTTATTTCAAGGAGATGTCCTATCTGGAAAATTATGTGATGTAGTATTTTTCCCTGTTGGAAAATTATACTGAAAGTATGAAATTCCTTTTCCAGTTAATTTTGTCCTCCCTGTGGTGTTTTAAAAAATGTTTTGGAAACTGATGCTGTTTGCCTGTGATTGCTATTGAGCAATGGAGGTCAAAGTAAAAAAGTATGTTCCAGCCAGGGGTAGTGGCTCATATCCGTAATCTCAGCACTTTGGGAGGCCAAGGCTGGGGGATCGCTTGAGCCCAGGAGTTTGAGAACAATCTGGACAATGTGGGGAGACTCTATCAAAAAGTAGAAAAATTAGCTGGGTGTGGTGGTGTGCACCTGCCATCCCAGCTACTTGGGAGGCTGAGGTAGGAGGATCACCTGAGGCTGGGAAGGTAAAAGCTGCAGTGAGCCATGATTGTGCCAGTGCACTCCAGCCTGGGCAAAAGAGTGAGAATCTGCCTAAAAAAATAAAACATATGCACGAAGGAATTTTGACCTGAAAAACAGAAAGGGGTTAAAATAGTCCTTGCATCACAAACTCTTCATTTCTGTGGTTTCATCACTATAACGATATATCACATGCCTTATGACTTATATTGTTTCTAATCCATATGAACAGAACACATTGATTTAAAAAAAAATTATTGGCAGTTTCATGGCATACATATTGGTTTTTAATGGGTTTTCAAAACAAAGGATCCTGACTTTTTAGTCATGGCATTCAGATGAGCTAAAGAAGCTGCAGAATCGCCATTGTGTGTTCAAGAGCTCCGTAACCGTATGAGGGTAGTTCTCCCCCAGTGAGTTCCAGTGGATTTGGGAAGAGGAAATGAGAGACTAGCTTGAACCTGAAGTTTGAATATAATAAATTAACCTATTAAATGCTTCTTCTTTTGTAATCTTCCTACAGAGATGGTAGGAACAAATCATAGGCGCAGTCGCACCAAATTCACAGAAGATCAGTTGAAAATCCTCATCAATACCTTCAATCAAAAGCCTTACCCAGGTTATGCTACCAAACAAAAACTTGCTTTAGAAATCAACACAGAAGAGTCCAGAATCCAGGTAAGTTAAAGTTCTATATCTCCAGGACTGGAAGTAGAAGGTAGGACGGAGAACCACTAATGGAGCCCATACTATGTACCCGTGTGCTAAGAGCTTTGTGGGAGTGTCCCAACTGACACTCAACAAACCCACAGAGGTGTTGCTGTTAGCCTGACTTCACAGATATGGATACCAAGGATGACCCAGCTCACAGGAAGCCAGAGAACGTGTGTAGGCATACCTTCAAAGAGGAGGAGATTTTGAGCTGGTTTTTAAACATGTAATAATTGTAGCAGCTATTTACCAATTAAATATTAATAACTAGAGCAAATCATGTTGGGAGCAGATTGTGAAGGTGCCGAATGCCAAATCTTTTATTTTTTGTTTTCATCTTTTTGAGACAGTCTCACTGTCTCACCCAAGCTGGATGCAGTGGTGGCACAATCACGGCTCACTGAAGCCTTAAAATCCCGGGCTCAAGCAACCCTCCCTCAGCCTCCCAAATAGCTGAAACTATAGGCATGGGCCACCACAGCTAATTTTTTACTTTTATTTTTTGAGACAGAGTCTTGTCCTGTTGCCCAGAGTGGAGTGCACTGGTGTAATCTCGGCTCACTGCAACATCCTCCTCCCGGGTTCAAGCGATTCTCATGCCTCAGCCTCCCAAGTAGCTGGGACTACAAGTGCCCGCCACCATGACAAGCTAATTTGTGTATTTTTAATAGAGTAGAGACGGGGTTTCACTATGTTGGTCAGGCTGGTCTTGAACTCCTGACCTCGTGATCTGCCCACCTCGGCCTCCCAAAGTGCTGGGATTACAGATGTGAGCCACCGCGCTTGGCTGCTATTTTTTTT